TCTAACTGCAATTTTGTAGTGAGGATAGATAGTACTTTCGATGATAGGAATATAAAAGAAATCTATTTTTCGAGCCCAGATCGAGTGGCACGCTGATACAGAGACGCCCTCTTAAACGATGGAAATATTAAAACATTGGACATAATTGTCCTGTCCCCCTACCCTGTGGGGGAGGGGTGCGTAGAAACCTAGGTTATTATAGCCACAAATATTAGACCATCCAACTAATAGCTTGCATATTTTATCTCGATAGCGGAATCCAGCTCAGAACATCTTTTCGTTGATGGAGATATTATATTAGGCGGGCTTTTTAACGTCCATGACAGAGACAAAAGTTCTGAAAACCGCTGTGGTATCCTGGACCCGAATCCTGGTTACCAGTACCTCGCGTCTGCTCTCTACGCCATCCGAGAGATCAACGACAACCCGAACATGCTCCGAGGAATCAAACTCGGTGCGAGGATGTACGATACGTGCCGAAGTGAGACCATCGGAGCTGATGCGGCTAAGGAGCATATTAAGTATACCTTACTACAGAAGAATGACACGCCTCCACTAGCCGGTGTAATAGGACCGTTTCGAAGTGACGTTGCTGTTGCTGTTGTTAATTTACTACGCGTCTTCCAGATTCCACAGGTCAGTTTTGGCGCGACTGTAGTTAAGCTTAGCAACAAAAATATCTATGGAAACTTTTTGAGGACAGTGCCTCCGAATTCGTTCCAAGGTAAAGCCCTTGTGGACGTTGTACGGTATTTTGGATGGACCTACGTCATGACTGTTCATTCACAGGGACTATACGGTGAGCCGGGGATGGACGAGGTTTACGAAGCAGCTAAAACAAGGGCACTGTGTATTGCTAGTAAGAAACGGTTACCGGATTTTCCGAAGCCAGAAGATTACGAGAATACTATTAAAGAATTATTGGAACGCAGCAAGTTAAATGAGAATTCGGATTTAAACGTGGTTATCTTGTTCTGTATTCAGCGCGACAATACGGGTTTAGTGGCAGCGGCGAAACGAATACTAAAAAACGAAACGAAAAGATTTGTTTTTGTCGCAAGTAACTCGTGGGGAGCCAGGGAGCCTGTGACTAATGGCAACGAAGAAGGTGGTGAGGGTGCCATCACACTTAACTTTATCGAAGGAAGTGTCAAACGATTTCAAGATTATCTTCTAAGCTTAAACTACAACAGCAGTAACCACGTATGGTTCCAAGAATTTTGGCAGATAGCAAAGAAATGTCGCATTCCAGGGGCTAAAAAGCAGACAAATTTCTCTGAAACGTGCGTCAGGGATGACAAACTTCCCAAACATTTTGGGATTGCACCTGTGAGAGTTGCAATGAATGCCGTCTATGCTGCTGCATATGCACTAGATAACATGCATCGAGTCGTTTGCGCCGGTAAGAAAGGAATGTGTCCTGCAATGCAAAATCTTCAACGAGAATTATTCCTCGGATATTTAAAGAATGTCAGCTTTCCCGACGCAACTACTAACAAAACTGTTAAATTTAATCGCAATGGCGAAGTGGATGGGAGATACACTGTTCTGAATTTCAGGAAAGTTAACGGGAAGTACACGTATTTAAAAGTAGGTACTTGGATGGGGGAGTTAAAGAACGACGACTCTATTAATGCTTCTCTTCAAATTGATAAAAGCGCCATCGCTTGGCCGCCTACTTTTCGAACCCAACCCAACTCCTTCTGCAGCACAGCATGCAGCTCGGCGCAAATCAAGAAGCCTGAAACTACGAATCCCAGCTGTTGTTGGAGATGTGAGAACTGTAAAGACAAGTCGTATGTCGTGAATGATACTTGTAATGTATGCCCTCTAGGCACTCGACCAGACTTAAATCGCACAACATGTCACAAGCTTCCTTTGATTTATTCCACGCTCGATAAAGATTCCCCGGCTCAGATCATCGTTGCTTTACTGACGATGCTAGGCTTGATTTGCACGTTTTTGACTGCGGCGTTTTTCATTAAAAACAGAAATGATCGCGTCATCAAGGCAAGCGGACGAGAACTGAGTGTCATCCTCTTCGTTGGCGTGTTTTTCTGCTATATATCATCTTTTATCTACCTGATAAAACCCACGGATGCTGTATGTGGCATGCGTCGTTTCGTCAGTAGTATTTCCATGACTGCAATCTACGCACCGGTTCTGCTTCGCACGAATCGTATCTATAGGATATTCAAAGTAGCTCAGAAGTCAGTATCGCGACCTTCGTTGATAAGCCCTACTTCTCAGATTATTATGTCCATGGCAATTATAGCGGTGCAGGTGCTTATTACGTCAATATGGTTCACGTCGGATCCCCCTACAGCCTCTATGTCATACCAATACGACCACGTGACTATCCTACAATGTACCAAGCAAAACGTCAGCGTGGCTTTTAACTTGTCCTTGAACATCATCCTCATGTTCATCGCCACTTGCTACGCTTTTTTAACCAGAAATTTCCCGCGCAATTTCAACGAAGCCAAATACATTGGTATCACTATGTATCTGTCTTGCTCAGTGTGGATCGTCTTTCTTCCTTGTTATCTCAACGCTAAGGACGGTATCTGGAAGAGTGTCTTCGCTATGTATGCGTTTTTCTTTATAGCGACAATCACACTGGGAGGTTTATTGGTCCCTAGAGTGATCCTGGTCATCAAAGGCGCTACAGTTGGGCCGGAGACTTTGACAATGACAATGCAATCAGGGCACACTAAACAGGGTGACATGACTTTAGAAAATCCACGTTGTATAAAAGCCGAGAACTACGAACCAAATGGCGGGGCAATTAAATCTAAAGATGAGAGGATTGAAAGTATAACTAGTAAATAATAATCAGATGATTACAATTTTAACATAATTATTTTTGTGAATAAGATAATGTTAATATATAAATCAATATCAAAATATCAGTGATACAAGTTTGCGCGCATGCGTACTACAGTAAGCATTCATTTAAAGTGCAAATGAACCCTTCGACAATACTTTCAGTACTGGTTCTACATAAAGTAAATAGTTGAATGGTATAATATTTCTTGATTTGAGTGATGCGTCTCTAAGTTATGAAGGTTTATACTTCCAATATGYTAATRAKKRTGACGTCAGGTAAGGTATTTGAGTGTTTTTGTTGTAACTAGTAATACTAAATGCTGGCCATTTTGAAAATACAAATATTCAAAATTGCTTTCATGTAAAACATGAGTAAAATAATGATGCTTTTTAAATACTGTTTCTATGAACCAGTTC